CTATGTACACGACGCGTGCTGCTCTGCTGCTGCAGGGCTCAACGAAGATGGAAAGATTGCGAGTTGTGTCGATGATGCCGGACCCCATAAAAAAATTTCGGAGATGATGGCCTTCACTATAGGGTGCTTCAAAACATTTTAAAAACTTTTATCGGCTGTCGTTTTAATGGAAAAATAACGGAGGATAATACACTGTAACATGATAACAAATTGAACGTTAACATCTCCAAAAAGTCTCTCCCATGTGTTTCGCCATCGCTGTCAACGCATTGCCTGGAATCTTCTCCAGGTGTTCTCCAGAGCCCGGAGGAGGCAGCACATTTCTCGTGGCAGCTGTTGCAATTTCTCACGAGTGTTAACATGTTTCTGTTAAAGCCGCCCTGCATATAGACAGATGTACACGTATACACAACTATACAAAAGTGTAAGTGGAATACTGGGTGAACAATTTGCGTGTTTAATTTTAAGCCGGTTTGAATTAACAAAAGGCAAACGGGGTTCGGTGTCATTTGTCGCGACACCGCTCCGAGGGTTCGCCGTGGTGACAATGATCGCGACAAGCGGGTGGCACGTCACGATCCACGTGTCGAACCTCTTCTGTACCGCACCGCCGCACGTAGCCACCGCGCGAATCGGAGGTGCGCACAGGGTAAGGACAACAGACCTGACACGCAACAGGCGGGGTCTATGGTGCAGTGGTGAGTTTATGGTGCGGTGATGAGTCTGGTGCAGTGAGTCTATGTGCAGGTGAGTCTATGGTGCAGTGTTGAGTCTATGGGCAGTGTGAGTCTATGGGCAGTGTTGAGTCTATGGCAGTGATGAGTCTATGGTGCAGTGTTGAGTCTATGGTGCAGTGTTGAGTCTATGGTGCAGTGTTGAGTCTATGGTGCAGTGTTGAGTCTATGGGCAGTGTGAGTCATGGTGCAGTGTGAGTCTATGGGCAGTGTCGAGTCTATGGTGCAGTGGAGTCTATGGGCAGTGTCGAGTCTATGGGCAGTGTTGAGTCTATGGTGCAGTGTTGAGTCTATGGTGCAGTGTTGAGTCTATGGTGCAGTGTTGAGTCTATGGTGCAGTGTGAGTCTATGGTGCAGTGTGAGTCTATGGTGCAGTGTTGAGTCTATGGTGCAGTGTGAGTCTATGGCAGTGTTGAGTCTATGGGCAGTGTTGAGCTGTGGTGCAGTGTTGAGTCTATGGTGCAGTGTTGAGTCTATGGTGCAGTGTGAGTCTATGGTGCAGTGTGAGTCTATGGTGCAGTGTGAGTCTATGGTAGTGTTGAGTCTGGGCAGTGTTGAGTCTATGGTGCAGTGTGAGTCTATGGTGCAGTGTTGAGTCTATGGGCAGTGTTGAGTCTATGGTGCAGTGTGAGTCTAGTGCAGTGTGAGTCTATGGTGCAGTGTTGAGTCTATGGGCAGTGTTGAGTCTATGGGCAGTGTTGAGTCTATGGGCAGTGTTGAGTCTATGGTGCAGTGTTGAGTCTATGGTGCAGTGTTGAGTCTATGGGCAGTGTTGAGTCTATGGTGCAGTGTGAGTCTATGGTGCAGTGATGAGTCTATGGTGCAGTGTGAGTCTATGGTGCAGTGTGAGTCTATGGTGCAGTGTTGAGTCTATGGTGCAGTGTGAGTCTATGGGCAGTGTTGAGTCTATGGGCAGTGTTGAGTCTATGGGCAGTGTGAGTCTATGGGCAGTGTGAGTCTATGGTGCAGTGTTGAGTCTATGGGCAGTGTTGAGTCTATGGTGCAGTGTGAGTCTATGGTGCAGTGTGAGTCTATGGTGCAGTGTTGAGTCTATGGGCAGTGTTGAGTCTATGGTGCAGTGTGAGTCTATGGTGCAGTGTGAGTCTATGGTGCAGTGTGAGTCTATGGGCAGTGTTGAGTCTATGGTGCAGTGTGAGTCTATGGTGCAGTGTTGAGTCTATGGGCAGTGTGAGTCTATGGTGCAGTGTGAGTCTATGGTGCAGTGTGAGTCTATGGTGCAGTGTGAGTCTATGGTGCAGTGTGAGTCTATGGTGCAGTGTTGAGTCTATGGTGCAGTGTGAGTCTAGGGTAGGTGAGTCTATGGGCAGTGTTGAGTCTATGGTGCAGTGTTGAGTCTATGGTGCAGTGTGAGTCTATGGGCAGTGATGAGTCTATGGGCAGTGTGAGTCTATGGTGCAGTGTTGAGTCTATGGCAGTGTGAGTCTATGGGCAGTGTGAGTCTATGGGCAGTGTGAGTCTATGGTGCAGTGTGAGTCTATGGTGCAGTGTGAGTCTATGGTGCAGTGTGAGTCTATGGTGCAGTGTGAGTCTATGGTGCAGTGTGAGTCTATGGTGCAGTGTTGAGTCTATGGGCAGTGTGAGTCTATGGGCAGTGTTGAGTCTATGGGCAGTGATGAGTCTATGGTGCAGTGTGAGTCTATGGTGCAGTGTTGAGTCTATGGGCAGTGTTGAGTCTATGGTGCAGTGTTGAGTCTATGGTGCAGTGTTGAGTCTATGGTGCAGTGTGAGTCTATGGGCAGTGTTGAGTCTATGGTGCAGTGTGAGTCTATGGTGCAGTGTGAGTCTATGGTGCAGTGTGAGTCTATGGGCAGTGTTGAGTCTATGGTGCAGTGTGAGTCTATGGTGCAGTGTGAGTCTATGGTGCAGTGTTGAGTCTATGGTGCAGTGAGTCTATGGGTAGTGTTGAGTCTATGGTGCAGTGTGAGTCTATGGTGCAGTGTGAGTCTATGGGCAGTGTTGAGTCTATGGTGCAGTGTTGAGTCTATGGTGCAGTGTGAGTCTATGGGCAGTGTTGAGTCTATGGGCAGTGTGTGAGTCTATGGTGCAGTGTTGAGTCTATGGTGCAGTGTTGAGTCTATGGTGCAGTGTTGAGTCTATGGTGCAGTGTTGAGTCTATGGTGCAGTGATGAGTCTATGGCAGTGTGAGTCTATGGGCAGTGATGAGTCTATGGTGCAGTGTGAGTCTATGGTGCAGTGTTGATCTATGGTGCAGAGTTGAGTCTATGGTGCAGTGTGAGTCTATGGGCAGTGATGAGTCTATGATGCAGTGTTGAGTCTATGGTACAGTGTTGAGATTCAGTTAAAACTTGAGTGCACTCAAAACAAGGCTGCCATATGCCTTGCATTACGTTGATCTGAATCGGCTTAAATCTCGGGATTAAACTTGTTTCTGCGTTTAATTTCATCTGAATCGCCACACTTGAGATTTAAAATGACCGAGGCTTGGGACTTCTTACGCGACGAACATTACTCCCATATCACAGAACGTCGCTTGAAGAAGGAGGGATCTCAGCGGTAGCTCTGTGATATCCGCTTCCGCGGAACATTCTCGAACAACACGATAGGCTCGCACGGCTCGGGAGAGATTTCCCGATCGGATCCTCCGTCTAGCGACACCCAACAGCGGAGCAATCGGGGATACCATTGGCAGGGAGGGAGTGGGGGGGTAAAGTTGATGTAATTTATTTAATTTTAAAACAAGATTCAAGATTTCCACTGGGGGGTTAATCCACGGTGGTGTGAGGGGACCAGTAGGCGCTGGGCTCGCGATCCAGACATTGCCAGTTCGACTCCCATCTCCCGGCAGCGCGTCATGTATGTTGAACTTCTTGACGGACCGCGGACGCTAAACGGTTGTCGGTTTAGCAACAGGAATAATCAAACGTAGAATGCGGCATTCCGTCCAAGGATTTCCCCAATGCGCCAGAGGTCACAAACGGGTTTTGATTCCTTACCCGTACCCGGCCGCACCAGGGTCACAAACGGGTACCCGTACCCGTACCCGGCCGGGTACGGGTAGCCGGGTATCGGGTAGGGTACGGGTATCGAGTACCCGATTGCGACCTCTGGGATGAAGCCATGTTGCAGGCGCGGGTGGGTTAATTCTAGGAACTTGAACTGTGAGAAGAGACAAGACGTTGGGAAATGAGTGACAACGGTTACTCACCAGTGACTCACGGCCTTCTCACTCATTGGTTGGGGTGAGTCACGTGCGGCTACCCGTACCCGTACCCGGCCGCACCAGGGTCGCAAACGGGTACCCGTACCTAGCCGGGTACGGGTAGCCGGGTATCGGATAGGGTATGGGTATCGGGGGGTACCCGATTGCGACCTCTGCAATGCGCCAATGCGTGAAGAGCAGGAAACTAAAAAGCGCAACCAGGGCGACCACCATACTAAGGAGTGGGGTGCAGCATCACGGGGTAACCAAACTCTGGGTAGGGTACCCGTGATGCTGCGCCCATTGCCGGATGAAGCTACGTGCGGGGCCTGTAGCATATGATGTTATAAACGGGCCCTAAATTGAAAGAAACACTTAAATATTAAAACACAATTTTTTTACTTGCATAGTCAAGTAATTGCAATTTTTTCATTTTCTTGACAGCAGATATACGACGAATCGGTACCATAAACACCCGTCGTTCATAAAACTTGAAGGCGGTATAGTGCTATAGTAATAGAGCAAGTGCAAAATCACTGCCTCGGAATTGATAGCTCGAAAGCATTTAGCGCGGGGCCCTTGAAAGTGCGGGGCCCGTAGCATTTGCTACTTTTGCTACGAGATCATCCGACACTTACTGCGCCCCTTGTTGAGTCGGGCGGGCGAGCCGGCGGGCGGTGGTGGTGGCGGCAACGCCGCTGCACGAAGCCTCTAATCCAGCACTGCGCGGCGGCAAGCAGCGAGGGTTGGCGGATCACACACAGATGTTAGGCAAACTCCCACCCCCGCCCCCCCTCCATGCCATGGTCCCACCGTGGGTGGCCGTCCAAGATGGGGGAAGGGGACGGAGGACCGGGCCAAGATGAGAGGGTGACGGAGAGGGGAGGAGAAAGACGAAGAGGCTGCATCAGCGTCTCGACGCTGCTGCTGCTGCTGGACATGGGAGGAGGAGGAGCCGAGTCTGTTTTCACAGTGGCTGGGATTGGGGAGAGTGGGCGTGTCTAAACATGAGTCACGTGGTTCACGGTGAGACGTGAGCTGCTTTAGAGAGAGAGAGAAGTGGAGATCTGTAGATGAGAGGGGAAGGGTTCCGAGTTGAGGCGGTGGTGGAGGGGGTGACCACACAGGAGCCACGTGGTTCAGGGGAGCCCTGAGCTGACATAGGCGATGTAAGATTTCTGGGGGGTACCCCCCCCCCCCCCCCGCCGCCGTGGTGTGAACGCGGCTCGGCTCGGCAGAGGCAGGAGACCTACCCCCCTCGGGGAGGGGGATGGGGATGATGGCCGCCGGGTTCCTCAGTCCTGGAATTTGTTGAAGTTTGTGTACATCTGTTGGATGTCCTCCATCTTCATCTCGGAGTCGGAGTCGGAGTCGCTGGACGAGTCGGAGCTAGACGAGTCGGAGCTTGAATGGCCATGCTCAGTATCGCTGCTCGAGGAGTGGGAGTCTGAGGGGGGGAGTGGGGAGTGGGAGACAAAGAGAGGCCAAGTGGAAACGTGATCCTTTGCGGGGGGGGGCAGGGGGGGGGGTCGCAGTTATCACTTGGAACGGGAGACTGAGGGGGAGTCGTAAGGAGGAGTGTTTTAAAACGGATTGGTCCACACCAGAAACAGCCTTCTTTAGAGGCTCGTCTCAAAGGTGTCAGACCGGAGAACGCCAAAAGGCGAACAGGCACAAGGACAATGCAGGGCATTTATAGCTCGGGGTGAGCAACTGTACCATGGGATACCTTTTGCTGCTGCAGTTTTGCGCATCAAGGACGGGGCGACGTGGCCCACAAAAGTGACACCGCAGCCGCCAAACTCGGAACTGAGCTCTCGATCGCGCGGAACGGGCTGCTGGCGACGTATAATCCTTGCCTCCGACGGTGCGTCGGTACACGCGGACACTTTTGCTGGTGCGGGAGTCGCGACCGGCATCGTCAGGCGATCGCCACAAATTGCGTGGCCACCCCCACGCTGAATAACCCCCCCCCCCTCCTCCCTCCCTCACTCTCTGCAAAAGATCTCAAACCATTTTTCTTCCACGCGTTTGTCACACTCATGTGGGGGTGTTTCCGCTGTCCTTGCCAACCTTCTTCACGCTGCCCTGTCCTGCGCCATCTCTCTTTCCGCTCCTCGGGCCACCGTGCCCAATCGCACCACTGATATATACAGGTAGTCCCCGACTTACGATGGAGATGCGTTACGACGACCCTATCGTACGTCGAAAATATCGTAAGTCGAAAATGGCCTCGCCTACTCAGGAGTCTTAAAGAATGGTGATAATTTAGCAAAACAGAGCAATTTACAGTACCGTACTGTATAAACTATATACTGTATGTATTTCTTAATTGCAATAATGCTTTCTTCACTAAAATTGGACCTTGAAACACAAAAAAACACAGAAAAAAATACACGCGCTAATACCGTGACAACTTAACTCCGTCGACCGCTGGTGAGAGTGAGAGGCATCACACAAGGCGGGAGATGCGTACGGTACATCCCGACAACGTCCCAACGTACAGTATCGTACCTCGTACGCTGCTGCGTTTGCCGGCCGCGCGAAATGTAAAATATTTTACAATTTTGTCGTATCGCTATCGCCGTCGTAAGATCCAAATATTGTAAGTCGGACCATCGTAAGTCGGGGACTACCTGTATCTATAGATCTCAATCTCTCTCTCTAAGCCATCTCAAGCCTCCGGTTAATCACGGGAATCCCTGAGAGAGAGAGGGAGAGACCAACACCCCCGTGGATTAAACCCAGGACCTCAGCAGCGCTGGCTCCTGTGCCTCCGACAACGGCCATTCTACAAAGAGGCCCCCTTGAGTTCCCGTGAGCCCCACTCACCGTTCGTGCTGCAATGCTCGTGGATTAATAGATGATGGCTCCCACTACGCTGAGCAGGAGGACCGGGACGAGGGTCGTGAGAAGGATGAGGGCCCACAGCGGGAACCCTGAGTGGACAACGGCAAGACAGCCACGCGCATGGTTAGCGCCGTCGCCGCCACAATCATCGACAGCCGTGGTCAGTCCGCTGCTGGACCAAGGACAAAGCCGTTCGCCATGCCTCGCCGACCCGCAACGCCCACCCCAACGAGCCGTCTTATCGCCTCTGGCCTCTCAGAGAGTGGAACGACATGTATAACCGACTACCGCATATCCAACCGCCGCATATATATCCGACCCGAGCAATTTAAAAACACCAGCGCCAAAGTCGTTTGTACACAAACGGTAGATCGTTAATGGAGGGTTTTAAAAAATAGTAATTAAAATACTAAAACGCACGATGCTCACATCTTGGAGCTCTTTGTGTATTTGCGTTTGCCCTCCAGATGAAATTGATGTCGACGGCTAAATTTCTTGTTGTAGTACTGTAAACAAGAAAGTTTGGTTCACGCTAATGACAAATGTTTGATGGCCCGCCAGTTGTCGATGTCACATTGACAGTTTCGGTAGTCCCGGCTACGGTTGGCAACGAAGAGGCCGGAGGTTTGAAATGGGTTGTTTTTGCCGATATCGACAGAGTCTCTTGAGCACCCGTGGTATGACGGGTTGTCTCCTTACCAGCTGTGTTAGAACTGGTAGTGAATATACCAGCTGTGTTAGAACCAGTAATTTCTACAGCAGTTGTGTTAGAACCTGTAGTTTCTTTAACAGCTGTGTTCAAACTGGTCGTGAATTTACCAGATGTGTTAGAACTAGTAATTTCTACAGCAGGTGTGTTAGAACCAGTGATTTCTACAGCAGGGGTGTTAGAACCGATAGTTTGTTGAGCAGCTGTGTTAAAATTGGAAGTTCCAGGAGGAGGTGTGTCTAGACTGGTAGTTCCTGAAGCAGGTGTGTTAATACTGGTAGTGTGTACTGTAGGAGTGTTAAGACTGGTAGTGTCTACTGTAGGAGTGTTAAATCTCATAGTTTCTACAGTAGGAGTGTTAAGACTGGTAGTTTCTACAGTAGGAGTGTTAAGACTGGTAGTTTTTTACAGTAGGAGTGTTAAGACTAGTAGTTTCCTTACCAGTAGTAGGTTCAGGTGCTTGAGTTGTGACGTAACTGGTTGTTTCTTGAGATTCTGTGTTCTCGGACGTTTCTTGAGGGGATGTGTTAAAATCGCTCGTTTGTGTTTCTTCTGTGTCTGTTACTGGGCTAGTGACTGTGCCCGTGTCTGTTCCTGGATTGGTGACGGTACCTGTGCCTGTTTCTGAGTCGGGGACTGTACCAGTGCCTGTTTCTGGGTCGGGGACTGTACCGGTGTCTGTTGCTGGGTTACTGACTGTGCCCGTGTCTGTTACTGGATTGGTGACGGTACCTGTGCCTGTTTCTGGGTTAGTAACTCTGCTCGTGTCTATTATTGGGTTGGTGACTGTACCTGTGCCTGTTACTGGGTTACTGACTGTGCCCGTGTTTGTTACTGGGTTAGTGACTGTGCCCGTGTTTGTTACTGGGTTAGTGACTGTGCCGGTGCCTGTTACTGGGTTAGTCACTGTACCGGTGCCAGTTACTGGGTTAGTCACTGTACCAGTGCCTGTTACTGGGTTAGTCACTGTACCAGTGTCTGTTACTGGGTTAGTCATTGTACCAGTGCCTGTTACTGGGTTACTGACTGTTCCCGTGTTTGTTATTGGGTTAGTGACTGTACCGGTGCCGGTTACTGGATTGGTGACTGTACCGGTGCCGGTTACTGGATTGGTGACTGTACCTGTGCCTGTTACTGGGTTAGTCACTGTGCCGGTGCCTGTTACTGGGTTAGTCACTGTGCTCGTGCCTATTATTGGGTTAGTAACTGTGCCCGTGCCTGTTACTGGGTTAGTCACTGTGCTCGTGTCTATTATTGGGTTAGTAACTGTACCAGTGTCTGTTACTGGGTTAGTCACTGTACCAGTGTCTGTTACTGGGTTAGTCACTGTACCAGTGCCTGTTACTGGGTTAGTCACTGTACCGGTGTCTGTTCCTGGGTTAGTCACTGTACCAGTGTCTGTTACTGGGTTAGTCACTGTACCAGTGTCTGTTACTGGGTTAGTCACTGTAGCCGTGTTTGTTACTGGGTTAGTGACTGTACCAGTGTCTGTTACTGGGTTAGTCACTGTACCAGTGTCTGTTACTGGGTTAGTCACTGTACCAGTGTCTGTTACTGGGTTAGTCACTGTACCAGTGTCTGTTACTGGGTTAGTCACTGTACCAGTGTCTGTTACTGGGTTAGTCACTGTACCAGTGTCTGTTACTGGGTTAGTAACTGTACCAGTGTCTGTTGCTGGGTTACTGACTGTGCCCGTGTCTGTTACTGGGTTAGTCACTGTAGCCGTGTTTGTTACTGGGTTAGTGACTGTACCAGTGTTTGTTACTGGGTTAGTAACTGTACCGGTGTCTGTTGCTGGGTTACTGACTGTGCCCGTGTCTGTTACTGGGTTAGTCACTGTAGCCGTGTTTGTTACTGGGTTAGTGACTGTACCAGTGTTTGTTTCTGGGTTAGTAACTGTACCGGTGTCTGTTGCTGGGTTACTGACTGTGCCCGTGTCTGTTACTGGGTTAGTCACTGTAGCCGTGTTTGTTACTGGGTCGGTGACTGTACCAGTGCCTGTTTCTGGGTTAGTAACTGTACCGGTGCCGGTTACTGGGTTAGTAACTGTACCCGTGTCCGTTACTGGGTTACTGACTGTGCCCGTGTCTGTTACTGGATCGGTGACTGTACCGGTGTCTGTTACTGGGTAGGTGACTGTAGCGGTGTCTGTTGCTGGGTTACTGACTGTGCCCGTGTCTGTTATTGGGTTAGTGGCTGTACCCGTGCCTGTTACTGGTTTGGTGACTGTCGCTGTCTCTGTGTTCACATCAGTGACTGTTATTGTTTCTGTGATGGTCATCGGTTCAGTGGTCGTTGCCGGTTCCGTGTCCGTCACAACGTCCGTGACCACCGTTGACGACGGCTCCGTGACCGTCATCGTTTCGGTGAAGGTCGACAGCTCCGTGACCGTCATCGTTTCGGTGAAGGTCGACAGCTCCGTGACCGTCATCGTTTCGGTGAAGGTCGACAGCTCCGTGACCCCTTCAGTGACCGTCGACAGCTCCTCGAAGGAGATCTCAATGGTGGCGCTGCCTCCGTCAACGATGCATGAGTAGTTGCCTGCGTCCAGCTCCGTAAGGGGACGGAGGAAGCGAATGATGTTGCAGTTCAAGTCGACTCCCGAGGCAAAGTTGACCGCGTCACTGTCGGCAAGGCGGGACGAACAGCAAAACCATTTAAACAATTACATTTTTTATTTCACCAGGTGAGGCGCACTGAGCTGCTATATACGCATCCACAGCTCCCTCCTTCATCTACAGCTCCCTTCTTCATCTACAGCTCTCTCCTTCATCCACAGCTCTCTCCTTCATCCACAGCTCTCTTCTTCATCCACAGCTCCCTCCTTCATCCACAGCTCCCTTCTTCATCCACAGCTCCCTCCTTAATCCAGAGCTCCCTCCTTCACACACAGCTCTCTCCTTTATCCACAGCTAGCTCCTTCACCTACAGCTCCCTCATTCACACACAGCTCTCTCCTTCATCCACAGCTCTCTCCTTTATCCACAGCTAGCTCCTTCACATACAGCTCCCTCCTTCATCTACAGCTCCCTCCTTCATCCATAGCTCACTCCTCTCCCATCACTGCTGCCAATGTCTTCCTCATCCCCGCAGTCCCCTCTCCCACCCCCTCCCCCCACCCCCCCTGTCATCATCCCTGTCTCCTAATTTACATCCATGAATCCCCCTCTGGCGGTTAATCCCGGTCAACTTGGTGCAGGGATTGGAATCGGCCTGCGGGAGGTCGGGGATGCCAACATATAAGTGAAGCTAAAGCAGGATCAGTGGGGCAGTGGAGGGAGTTCTGCAGAGAAGATGGGGGGGGGGGGGGGGAGAAGGGGCTGCCACCCACCTGATCCACGTGTAATTTGTCCACGGGGAGGAAGGGCAGGCCTTGCAGTAGAGCGTCACGTTCTGCATCCCCACGTACCAGTTGTAGTCACTCGTTGTGATGGTCACAAACAGGGGGTCACCTTAACGCAAACACAACAACAACAACCTTCATTAGCACTAATTGGCAGTGACGTCACCATGGCGTTTGTGGCAGGCTGTGTACACTTTAAGGCCATGTAAAGTGTCGAACACCAGCTGACAGGAGGTCACGGTACAGACCCAGGTGGTGCCATGGGTTGACTGACTAAGACGCAGACACACATACAGATCTCACGTCAGCCTTGTACAATCTTCTATAATATCGTTTTTTTGGGTTAGATCCCGTAAATATATCAATGTGTCGTTAAACCCGCCACCACCTGACACAGCCAATTAGTAAGATTTGTCACGTGAACAGAACATGCCACTTCATTACTAGTGTAGTGGTTACCGCTAGTTCCAAAATGGCGGTCGCGCTGTCCTGAAGCTTTTGTGAAAAATCTGGATTTTGACCCCAGTTTGACATCTGCTTTTCTCATGCTACAGGCAAAAGGCGGGGCTACCCGTGTCGTGGGAGGGGCTACTGGAGTAGTGGGAGGGGCTCCAGGAGTAATGGGAAGGGCTCCCAGAGTTGTGGGAAGGCCTACCTGAGCAAAAGTGAAAGGGGCTTGCTGAAAACACGCGTTTAGAGTACTTGGATGAGAAAATGTGTGGGGTTGACAAAGGAGTAGGAGGGGCCAAAGCCAGAAAAGAGATAATCACTGTGTTACGACTGGTAGTTTCTACAGTAGGAGTGTTAAGACTGGTAGTTTCTACAGTAGGAGTGTTAAGACTGGTAGTTTCTACAGTAGGAGTGTTAAGACTGGTAGTTTCTACAGTAGGAGTGTTAAGACTGGTAGTTTCTACAGTAGGAGTGTTAAGACTGGTAGTTTCTACAGTAGGAGTGTTAAGACTAGTAGTTTCCTTACCAGGAGTAGGTCCAGATGGTGCTTGAGTTGGGATGTAACTGGTTGTTTCTTGAGATCTTGTGTTCTTGGACGTTTCTTGAGATGTGTTAGAATCGCTCGTTTGTGTTTGTCCCGTGCCTGTTACTGGGTTAGTGATTGTAGCGGTGTTTGTTACTGGATTGGTGACTGTAGCGGTGTCTGTTACTGGATTGGTGACTGTAGCGGTGTCTGTTTCTGGATTGGTGACTGTGCCCGTGACTGTAGCGGTGTCTGTTTCTGGATTGGTGACTGTAGCGGTGTCTGTTACTGGGTCGGTGACTGTACCGGTGTCTGTTGCTGGGTTACTGACTGTGCCCGTGTCTGTTACTGGATTGGTGACGGTACCTGTGCCGGTTTCTGGTTCCGTAAATGTTACTGATTCCGTGAATGTTATCGGGTTAGTTTCTGTACCGGTTACTGTTACTTGTTCTGTCATTGTTACTATTTCTGAGTCTGTTATTGGGTTAGTGGCTGTACCCGTGCCTGTTACTGGTTCGGTGACTGTCGCTGGCTCTGTGTTCACATCGGTGACTGTTATTGTTTCTGTGATGGTCATCGGTTCAGTGCTCGTTGCTGGTTCTGTGTCCGTCACTGCCACCGTCGACGACTCCGTGACTTCTTCCGTGACCACCGTCGACGAAGGCTCTGTGACCGTCATCGTTTCGGTGAACGTCGACAGCTCCGTGACCGTCATCGTTTCGGTGAAGGTCGACAGCTCCGTGACCCCTTCAGTGACCGTCGACAGCTCCTCGAAGGAGATCTCAATGGTGGCGCTGCTGCTGTTGCCGTTGCCTTCATCAATGATGCATGAGTATTTGCCTGCGTCCAGCTCCGTGAGGGGACGGAGGAAGCGAATGATGTTGCAGTTCAAGTCGACTTCCGAGGCGAAGTTGACCGCGTCACTGTCGAGAAGGCGGGACGAACAGCAAAACCATTTAAACTATTTCATTTTTTATTTCACCAGGTGAGGCCCACTGAGCTGCAAAATACGCATCTCTCTCCACCCAGCAGCGTATAGATGGTTAAAACCAGAAAGTTTAAGGGCTATAGATTGCTGACGAGTACCTCCATCCACAGCTCCCTGATTCATCCACCACTCCTTCATCCACAGCTCCCTCCTTCATCTACAGCTCCCTTCTTCATCTACAGCTCTCTCCTTCACACACAGCTCTCTCCTTCACACAAAGCTCTCTCTTTCATCCACAGCTCTCTCCTTCATCTACAGCTTGTTCCTTCATCCACAGCTCCCTTCTTCATCTACAGCTCCCTCCTTCATCTACAGCTTGTTCCTTCATCCACAGCTCCCTCCTTCATCCACAGCTCCCTCCTTCACATACAGCTCCCTCCTTCGTCCACAGCTCCCTCCTTCATCCACAGCTCTCTCCTTCACACACAGCTCCCTCCTTCATCCACAGCTCCCTCCTTCATCCACAGCTCCCTCCTTCACATACAGTTCCCTCGTTCACTCACAGCTCCCTCCTTCATCTATAGCTCTCTCCTCTCCCATCACAGCTGCCAATGTCTTCCTCATCCCCACAGTCCCCTCTCCCACTCCGTCCCCCCGCCCCCCCTGTCATCATCCCTGTCTCCTAATTTCCATCCATGAATCCCCCTCTCACGGTTACTCCCGGTCAACTCGGTGCAGGGAATGGAATCGGCCTACAGGAGGTCGGGGATGCCAACGTATAAGTGAAGCTAAAGCAGGATCAGTGGGGCAGTGGAGCGGGTTCTGCAGAGAAGATGGGGGGAGAAGGGGCTGCGACTCACCTGATCCACGTGTAATTTGTCCACGGGGAGGAAGGGCAGGCCTGGCAGTAGAGCGTCACGTTCTCCATCCCCACGTACCAGTTGTAGTCACTCGTTGTGATGTTCACAACCAGCGGGTCACCTTGACGCAAACACAACAACAACAATAACAACCACAACCTTCATTCACACTAATTGGCAGTGACGTCACCATGGCGCTTGTGCCAGGCTGTGTGCACTTTAAGGCCACGTGAAGTGTCGAACACCCGCTGGCAGGTCAAGGGACAGATCCAGGTGGTGCCGTGGGTTGACTGACTGAGACGCAGACACACATACAGATCTCACGTCAGCCTTGTACAATCTTCCATAATACAGTTTTTTTTGGGTTAGATCGTGTATTAAACCCGCCACCACCCAACACCACCCAACACAGCCAACTAGTAAGGGTTGTCACGTAAACAGAACGCGGCCAATTCGTCACTAGTACAGCACACCGGTGTGTTGAAAAGGCAAGCCACAACATTTATAATCTGAGTACGACGTTTCGCCAGAAATTACAACCGGCATCATCAGGCGACAGACAGATTCGTGGCTTTGCTCTCCAACACATCGGTGTGCTGTACTATTAACGAATTGGCCACGTGACACACCTTACTAATTGGCTGTGTCGGGTGGCAGCGGGTTTAACGACACATTTATATATTTACACGATCTAACCCAAAAAAAACCTGCATTATGGATTATATTGGTCGCGAAAGCCTACTATGTCGTGTTACACTTGCAGAATATTCTTCATCTACCCGTCGAGCCCCCCCCCCCCTTTTATATAGGGGCGCCACGGTGGCTAGGAGATGCAGCCGTACGTAGCCAACCGTGCTAATCGTAGGTGTCACCAATTGTTGGTAGCTCCAGTTCTGGCCACCGTTCCCAGCACTCAGCCTGTCGATTCCCAACTAAATCTGCGCGCTGCGCATCTGTGTGTCGATGATTTTAATGATATTAATTAACGTAACATTACATCGAGGTTCCACACGTGCATCTGTCGCTGTTGCCCACCAGCAGAGGCAGTGAGTGAATGGGTGAGGGATTGAGGTGGAGTGGGGAGGAGTCATCACAGTACCTGCAGCTCTCTCAGCTCCGTTGTAGAGAAAATGAGATGGCGTGGCCAAAATCAGCCCTGAAAGAGAGAGAGAGAGAGTTTAAACAGAATCAGAATATTTATTTAGAACACAGAGGGAGGGGGAATCCGATGAGCTATGACCTTCTTGTTTCACAGGTGTCCAGTAAGGGCAACGTCACAATAAACAAACACAATACAAGAACGAAACAGGAGGAGGATTTCTCCACAAATCTGGCTGTCGCCTGATGATGCTAGTTGTAAATACCGGCAAAAACGTCATACTCGAATTGTAAATGTTGTGGGTTTACTCTCCAACACACTGTTTAGTGCTGTACTAGTAACGAAATGGCACGTTTTGTTTACGTGACAGACCTTACTAATTGGCTGTGTCGGGTGGTGGAGGGTTTAACGACACATTCATATTTACGCGCTCTAACCCAAAAAACACTGGTCGTGAAATCCTACGTGTTAAACTGATAGTCAAAACACATGATGGCGGTGCAAGAAAGGTAAACAAGTCACCCAAAAACATACAAATGAAACTAAATCATCCCCATCTTACCAGGCAAAGCCCACCAAGCTTATTTTTAAATCCTTTATATTAAGTTCACTTGCTTGCTTACGACCGTGCAAATCTTTCGGTCGTTTTTTAACCCACTTCCCGTGATCCAATCGAGCTGACATTTTGCACACAGACTCGTTGTGCGTGACAATTAATGTTCGTGAAATTTTCTTTCCAAAATTTTACACTTTTTTGGAACAAATAAATTATATTTAATTACCAATTGCTTAATGGTGGCAGGCAATCATCTGACCCATAGGTGGCAGCCATCTCAAGCCAGATGACGAGAGGACTCTAGCCGCCACGCATATAAAGGATTTATAGTGAAAAACTTTGTTTTTACGGGTTAATTTTTTCAGAAACAACCTGGCCACAAATGATAGCTCAACGAAGTGGCTTATCATGTGGACATTTATAGCAGCAACTTAATCTAAAAAGCTGGAAACACATCCTTTGTTTATATGTATGTTGAACTTCTTTCGCACCGCACGTTGCCAACCATGCTCATCGGAGATGCGGGGAGAAAGACAACAAACTAAACACACAGAAAGCAGTTCTCAAGAAATTAGTTTTCAATTTAGATTTTAAAAGTGCATCATACGTGTTTTTTTTTTATCGAATGAAGATGATGTCTAAAAAAAATAAGAAAAGACTTTGCCATTTGTTTAGATGTTTAAACACCAAATATGCACCTATTACTACAAAGGAATCAAGTCTGCATTAACCACACACAGTCGTGGTAAGACATGCAAACAACATGCTTTGGTAATAATGAAAACATTGTCCTTGAATCAGATTTCCCTACACCAGAGCTACAGCCTCCTCTACGGGCTTGTCTCACCAGCAGTGTTAGAGACCAGAGAACGACGCCAAAAGGCGATCAGCACAAGGGCAATGCAAACATCAAAGCATCTTGATACTGGCCAAAGTGTCCAGTAGAAATCAGATGATCACAATTACAAATAAACAACGCGTGCTTTTGCTCACCATTAAAAAACAGCATGCCTGAAAAAAGCGCGAAGGATCCAGCCTTCGCCATCTTCTCGAGTGAAATCCACAAGGCTCCTTGAAACGAATGGCAGATGGGAGGGGCAACAGGGTGTAAGACATTGAGCGATTGTCACGTTCAAAGACATCTAAACCTCGCCCATCGCGGGTTCACCCCCCCGCCACATCGCGGATTTGACCACTCGCGGCGACTGTGGCTTGACCAATTGTGGTTGGCCGTGATATTCCTGTGCAGTTGTGGATACTATAGAAGTAGTGCACGGTGGGGGGGACACGCGCGCCATCTTGTCTCCATCTCGTCTCCGTATCGTCTCTCGCCCGTCTCTCGCCCGCTTCTGTCTCGTGTCTGTGGCATCTCTGTTTTGACTCCGTCTTATCTCCTTCTTAAATGTTGACTTAAAACTTTCGTGACTGCAGGAATTCATATCTTTTGGTTCTTTCGGTAAAGTCACGTAGATAGAAAACTATTAATAGAAAATTAAGTGAATAAAAATAAGAAAAATCTAATAAAAATAATAAAAAAAACACTCATTTATCTCTGTCTTGTCTCCATCTGGTCTCTATCGTTTCCCAAGCGGCCCATCACGATTCTTAGGCCACGTGGTGGTGTTCCCAGGTCACGTGGTGGTATTTCCAGGTCACGTGGCGGTGTTCCCAGCCTCCAGTGAGGTTTACCCGTCCACGATTTTTCTGACCCATGTAATTTTTTTTATCCCCAATTCCATCCACTTACTGCACAAGTTACCGCAATCAGAATCTGTGTCTATGCTGGAGGAATCCGATGAGCTATGAAGATGTATTTATTTTATTTTACAGATGTCCAGTTATATTTAACACGAGACAATATTAATCATATTTTATACTTAAAACGCTTCCCGTTCAACGTGTTGGGTCGATGTAGGGTAACATAAAACAAAAGGAAGGGGTGGGTGTCATTACGGACCATGAACCAAACAAGCCCTCTAGTTTCCACATTGATATACCTTGCTGAGCTCGTCAAGAAGCATAAACCATCAAGCCAACTCCGGTGGTCATCCTCGCAGCAGCAGTCACCGCATCATCGCTCAGCGCTTTCAGATGCTATATACACTACACTATACACTACACTGTACACTACTATAGACTACACTACTGTACACTATACACTACACTACTATACACTACACTATACACGACACTATCCACTATACACTACACTATACACTACACACCGAAACACTACTATACACTGCATAACTATATTGCTACACACTACACTACTATACACTACACTATACACTACACTGTACACTACACTACTATACACTACACTATACACTACACAACTATACACTACATTATACACTTCACTATGATACAATACACTATACACTACTATACACTACTGTACACTACACTACGATACTCTACACTACTATACTATACACTACTAAACACTGCACTACAAACTACCCTTTTGGCGAACCATCGAACAAAGATGGCGTCACCGTTTCGCGCGGCACTTTTCAGCAGATGCGCTTCTGCGGCCGTCTGGAACGGATTATAGATTTGACGTTTTCGTGACTGCAAGGATTCATACTCTTAGGTTCTTTCGCTAAAGTCACGTAGGTAAAAAAAGAATAATACAAAATAAAATAATAATAAATGAAAATAACTACATTATTATTTATTATTTGATTTGATTATTATTTTTAATACAATAAAATAATAATAAATGAAAACTAAATGTTTATTTTTTATTTTACTTTATTATTATTCTTCTTTTTTACCTACGTGACTTTACCGAAAGAACCTAAGAGTAAGTCACTGGGAGCCGTGGCACTTTTAAATCATCATTTAGATTGACAAACCTGGTGAGATGAAAAAAAAATAGTTTAGCTGTATTCGAATATATATTTTTAAAGTAATCTGTTAACCTTTCCTACGCTTTGCACTCCCATCGTGTTTTTGTGTATATTGTGTGTTGTTGTAAAGCTCCCTGCCCCCTACTGGACATCTGTGAGTAAAGAGCTTCATAGCTCATCGGATTCCTCCTGTGAATACAGATTCTGATCCTTGAGTTTGCGTATCGCGGATTTTGCCGATGGGCGAGGGTTTGGTGCATTCGCTATCTTCAACAGAATCAGATCAAATTTCGATGTAAAGCTTTCGTGACTGCAGGGATTCCTCTTCTTGGTTCTTTCGATAAAGTCACGTAGAATGGAAATAATAAAATAATAAAAATAAAACAATAACAGACCTGTTCTTCACCTGAGGACGGCTGCTTGCGTTGTGGCCGAAACGTCGTGAGAATTATTTTATGATGTTTTATTTTTATTATTTTATTATTTCCATTCTACGTGACTTTACCGAAAGAACCAAGAAGAAGAATCAGATCAGATTATATTTATTTACATGATTACTTAAACAAGTGTGCTAGCGTGTTTTACCACGACTAACGTGTGCGATTAATGCAGACTTGATGCCTTTGTAGTACCAGGCATCTAAGTTGGTGTTTATACATCGTAACGCCTCCTATATGATTCCCAGGAATGATAACGCCTTTTATTATGCTTTTGTTAGTGATAATCTGAATTAAAAAAAAACCATGTACGATGCACTTTTAAATCATAGAAATTGACAAGTCATTTCTTTCGAACTGCTGTTTGCGTGTTAGTTTGCTGTACCCCCCCCCACCGCACCTTCGATTAGCACGGATGGCTACGTACGGTGGTGTGAAAGAAGCTTAACGTGCATCAGAGGTCGCAAACGGGTTTTGATTCCTTACCCGTACCCGTACCCGGCCGCACCAGGGTCGCAAATGGGTACCCATACCCGTACCCGGCCGGGTACGGGTACCCGTACGCTACCCGTACCCGTACCCTACCCGAAATGAGTGACAAACTGTTACTCACTAGTGACTCACGGCCTACCCGTACCCGTACCCGGCCGCACCAGGGTCGCAAACGGCTGCCCGTACCTGGCCGGGTACGGGTAGCCGGGTATCGGGTAGGGTACGGGTATCGGGTACCCGGTTGCGACCTCTGACGTGCATGCACACGTGCAAAAGGGTGTTTGTTGTGTACGTTGACTTTGCTCATCGCGGATTTGCCGATCGCAGCCGTTTCCAAGAACGTCACTCCCCGCGATAGGCAAGGGCTTGGTGTATTGGTTCTATTCAGCAGAATCAGAATCGTGATTTATACCGGAGGAGGAATATGCTTAGCCATGCAGCTCTATTTTTTTCACAGATGTCCAGAAAACTGGTGACGACATGATGGTTACTATGATACGCATCGTAAGCAGTGCCGGATTATCCAAGTAACAAGGCCGGTAGCCATGGAGTCAACATTGGGGGGACCAAATCTTTCAGGGTGTCTGGCGGTCCCATCCTAGAAAAATATCTAAATTTGAAAACGAATTTTCTGCCTAAAATATTCAAAAATTCACTAACACATGGGGTGGACTTTTTTCTTCTTCACAATGTCTAAAAGTGTATTGTATTACATTGGTCTGTTTTAACTTTTTTTTACCATTTCTTGTTTCATTGTATGTAATGGCAGAGATTAGGGATTAATAAAGTACAACCATAACCACAATCATATGAACAGAAATCTATGCATTGATTTATATGAAGACAAATACAGATATTGTGGCCAAGGTTTAGCAAATAGTTGTTTTTATTTACATAGCAATTATTTTAAGCATATGTTAATATTTGGGGGGATGTGTCCCCCCAATAGATATTATAATTACCGCCTTACTTAGTAGCAAAAGTAGAATACGCTACGGGCCCCGCACTTTCAAGGGCCCCGCGCTAAACGCTTTCAAGCTGTCAATTACGGTTCAGTGATTCTGCACTTGCTCTATTACTATAGCACTATACCGCCTTCAACTTTTATGAACGACTGGGTGTTTAAGGTTAGCGATTTGTCGTATTTTCTGGCTGCATCGCAAATGAAACATTCAATTATTTTACTATGCAAGTAAAACAATTTGTGTTTAATATTTAAGTGTTTATTTTATTTTATTTAGGGCCCCTTTATAGCATATGCTACAGGCCCCACACTTAGCTTTATCCGGCACTGATAGTAAGGTATAAAATCAGACCTCCCTTGGAAAATCGCCAGGCAGCTGTGGCTATACGGGGTCCATCAGCCGTGCAAACACAACAGATAAACTCAGCCACTCATTTAATCTGAGATCATTATATTCTATTGATTCGGCGCAGTAAATCTAACATCATTCTGTTCGATGATTCAACACGTCGATTCAACACGGTCAGTTAATTGTGTTCTGTGATTGAACACGGCGGTTCAAAACAGTAAATCTAGCATCATTCTATTCTATGATTCAACACATTGATGAGACTCATTTAATCTAGCATGATGATAGTCTATGATTCAATCTCGTATCATTCAACGTTACAACCAATCTACCATAATGATTCAACACAGTCAACCCATCATAATTCTATTCAGTAATTCAACAAGCTCGATCTAACATCATGGTATTCAGCGATTCAACACAGTCAACCCATAATAATTCTATTAAATAATTCAACACGGTCGATCTAACTCCATGATATTCAGTGATTCCACACAGTCAACCTGTTATAATTACATTAAATAATTCAACACGGCCAATCTAACATCATAATATCCCGTGATTCAACAGTCAACCCATCATAATTCTATTAAATAATTCAACACCGTCGATCTAACAGCATAATATTCCGTGATTCAACACAGTCAACCCATCATCATTCTATTCAATAATTCAACACCGTCTATCTAACAGCATAACATTCCGTGATTCAACACAGGCAACCCATCATAATTCTATTAAATAATTCAACACCGTCGATCTAACATCATAATATTCCGTGATTCAACACAGTCACCCCATCATAATTCTATCCAATAATTGCGCACCTAATTCACGCTGCGTGCCTAAAAATTCACGACGCAAAATCGAGTCGACGACGCAAACTTGACGCTTGGACAAATTCAACGCAGCTCTTGCCAAGATTGCCCCGAACGTAAATTACCTTGAAGAGGAGGAGGAGGGAGGAGGGTGGAGAAAGAGACCCCGATGTGCTTAAGGGATGTGAAGGCGTCTTCTCCACGTGTTCCCCGAGACTGTCCAACACTCTCGTTTCATCGGCTCAGCCGGTGGTCAAGATGCAGACTCGTCCGTGTGCCTGCGTGTCATCGGTGCTGAGTTGATAAAAGCACTTTCTGACCTCCTACCCCCAGACAGCCCGCTAAATACTTAGACGGAGGTGGGGTGCTATCGGTGTGTGTGTGAGTGAGTGCGTGTGTGTGTCTGCGCGCGCGTTGTGTATACGTGCGTGCGAGTTCCTTGCGTGCTGCGTCTGCGTGTGTGTGTGTCTATATATATAGATATGGGTACTAAACCGAGTCGTGCACTGCACCCTCCTCGCACTCACACACGCATCCACCTGTTTTATGGTTGGCAATTTCGCAGTGGTCACGGGGTGCGCAACTGGTGAACGAAAGTCGACCGACTCAAACCTCCCCCCGCCCCCCCGCCCTGAGTTTGATTCCCTGCCACGGCTGTCACGGGCACCATCGTGTCCACGTCTGTTGCTGGCGATTGCTCGAGAACAGCGATGTTGGGACCGCAGCACTCGTCCCGTCTGTCTGTCCAGGCAGCCAGACAGCCAGCAAAACTTGACTATGCATAATATAGCAAGGTGATATGGTGCTGCTGCTGCTGTAGCTTTGGTCGGGACTGCACAAGTACAATTAACAATAGCATATAGATATTTATATTCTTGGTTCTTTCGGTAAAGTCACGTAGAAGGGAAATAATAAAATAATGAAAATAAAACATAATAAAATACAATTCTCACGACGTTTCGACCACAACGCAAGCAGCCGATATTGTTTTAACTCGAACACGTTCATACTCTTAGGTTCTTTCGGTAAAGTCACGTAGGTAAAAAAAATAATAATACAATAAAATAATAATAAATGAAAATAACTACATTAAATCACGACGTTTCGGAAGCAACACAAGCCTCCGTCATCAGGTGTAACTGCTCCAGTAAAATTACTGTATCGTGTGAGAACACGTTCATTAAAAATAATTAATTAACTAAATGTGTATAACAAGAGGCGACGTTTCGGGCAATGGCCCTTTTCGAACAGCACATAGAGGAGAAAGGACCAGGGATGGGAATTCATTTTTTTTCATGGACAAATGTTTTTCCCTTGATGCACGGGGGCATCGTTGTTGCTGTTGCTGTTACGCCGAGTGTTTATCTGGGAGAGGTAAACGCTGAGTCTCATGGCCACTTTCCAGGAGGGTCATGTCGGCTCTTTTCACAGCAAAGGGGGGAGGGGGACGATGATTCGGCTCCGTGGTGGCTATGAGATGTTAACTACCTCGCCTGGTCTACAGGAGGCCGTGGGTTCGATCCCGACACTGACGCCTGATGCTGTATATTTGGAGTTTGCGTCTCTCTCTCATCATCATCATCACGGTGGCTAGGAGATATTAATTACCTCGCCTGGTGTACAGGAGGTCGTGGGTTCTATCCCGACACTGACGCCTGCTGCTGCTGTATATTTGGAGTTTGCGTCTCTCTCTCATCATCATCATCATGGTGGCTAGGAGATGTTAACTACCTCGCCTGGTCTACAGGAGGTCGTGGGTTCAATCCCGACCCTGACGCCTGCTGCTGCTGTATATTTGGAGTTTGCGTCTCTCTCATCATCATCACGGTGGCTATGAGATGTTAACTACCTCGCCTGGTATACAGGAGGTCGTGGGTTCGATCCCGATCCTGACGCCTGCTGCTGTATATTTAGAGTTTGAGTGTCTCTGCCTCTCCCTGTGGTTGCCTGGATTTTTCTCCGGGCTCCTACGGGTTTTTACCCTCTCCACGTTCAGAGTGAACGTCGCCACGCGTTTTTTGGTGTCATTTGGCTGCAATCAATTTCCACGACGATAAGCCGCCAACTCCACGTCGAGATTTATCATTCGTGTTATCCAGGTCGCTTCTAAAAATAAAATAGCTGCGTAGCTCAAATACTTTATAGTTCAATAGTTTAGATTGCTGCTGATGATATTGCGTCTGTGCCCGATCCCAATTGAATGATTTAAAAAAAAAATTAGAATGAAGTTAGCGTGACTGGCTACACACGACGGTCCAATTCTTGCGAACGACGCAGATAGATCTTTAACGTCCTCCGTGAGTGAAGCAAACGGCACGCAGTGGTTGTTGTTGTGGTTGTTGTTGTTGTGGTGGTGATTAGCACGGCAGCGTAGCGGATAGCGCTACGCTGCGCTCCTGCTCGCGGCCAATACCGGGGACGATTATCTGAACCGGTCCTGGGCCTCCCCTAGGTCGACTCAGCCTCAAATGAGTACCTGGTGCGGTGCGTAGTAAACATCGCCATTGGGGAGACAAAGGCGGCCGGGCGTGGTGCTGGCCACCCACCCCCTCGTGTGCTGTGCCGGCCTTCATGGGCGCACGCTAACAGCACTTGCCCCGACAGTCTGTTGCAGGCTACACGGGGGATCTTTGTCTTTGTTTGGTTAACACATCAGAAGTGGCGGTATTAACCAGGGCGGCCGCTGGTTTCGACAGCCGCGAACCTCCACGCACTGACCAGGGTGGTGAAGTATGGTCAAACGACCTCCCAGGGCACGATGCGACGTCAATCACAGGGGCGGTGGGTGGCTGTGGCTGGGGGGGAGAGCGGTGGCGCAGCGGTTAGCGCGGGGCTGTCCCTTAGGTTGACTCAGCCTCGAATGATGGCGAGGGTTCGTTAGAGGCTACACAGGGCGTCTTTACCTTTGTTGTGCGTGCGTGATGCCCCTCCAACCCCCCACCTCCACCCCCCCACCTCCACCCCCCACCTCTACCCCCCACCTCCACCCCCCCCACCGACACCACCCCACCACCTCCACCCCCCACCACCCCCCACCTCTACCCCCCACCTCCACCCCCTCACCTCCACCCCCCCCACCTCCACCACCCCACCTCCGCCCCCCACCTCCACCCCCCCCCCACCTCCACCACCCCACCCTCACCCACCTCCACCCCTCCACCTTCACCCCCCCCATCCATCACCCCACCTTCACCCCCACCTCTAGCCCCCCACCTCCACCCCCCCACCTCCACCCCCCCTACCTCCACCCCCCCACCTCCACCACTCCACCTCCACCCCCATCCACCACCCCACCTCCACCCCCATCCACCACCCCACCTCCACCACCCCACCTCCACCCCCCCACCACCCCCCTCTCACCCCACCACCCTCCCTCCCTCCCCCCACCACCCACTCTCCTGCGTCCCCTCCACTCCCAGTTGTAAACAAAGACTAAGCGCCGCCCGAGATAACAAACCTTCAAAGTACACAGAAAATAAATAAATTAAACTCCCCAATCTAGAGGGTGTTAAAAAAGGATGGACCCAATTTCAAAGCAGTATATTTCACGATGGCAACATGTTACAATTACACAAAAAGTTACAAACGGCTTAATGAATTATCAAGTTTTATTAACCATTTTATAAATGCTCTATGTGCCCTCCACCTGCTGTACGAACAACATCGAGATGATCGTTGAATTCGTCCCAAACGCCTCTCAAAGTGGCTTCTTCCACTGAAGTCACCGCTGCCGTGATTCTGTTTTTGAGGTCATCCAGATTAGTCGCTAATGGTGGCACAAAAACACCACGGGTCTTTTGACGTTTCCCCACAAGAAAAAGTCGCAGGGTGTGGTGATGTCTGGGGATCTTGGGGGCCAAGAGTGTAGCGCCAAGTCTTGGGGTCCCGTGTGACCTATCCAACGTTGAGGCAGTGTGTCTTGCGAATGATTGAGGCTAGAGGCTGTTTGTGCGCTGGGAGAGGCATCTTGCGGTAATCATTTGAAACTCTATGCCCCTCCCCCTCTATGCCCCTCCCCCCTTCTATGCCCCGCCCTCTCTATGCCCCGCCCTCTCTATGCCCCGCCCTCTCGAGTGGTAAGAGATTCATTCATGGGCGGTTCGTGGTTGTAGAGATATAGCGATTTAAAATCGGGTCCATCTTTTTAAACACCCTGTATTTACCTTTGCTGCGTCCTCAAAATATGTTTTACGGATCCCCTGCGCTCTCCCATCGTTTCGACGTTCGATGGATGTCATATCGATGTTCGATTTACGTCAATTCGACGTTCAATTGACGTTGTTTAGACCTTTGATTGACGTTTCGACGTTCGATTTACGTCAATTCGACGTTCAATTGACGTTGTTTCGACCTTTGATTGACGTTTCGACGTTCGATTTACGTCAATTTGACGTTCGATTGACGTCGGTTCGACCTTTGATTGACGTTTCGACGTTCAATTAACGTCAATTTGACGTTCGATTGACGTTGTTTCGGCCATTGATTGACGTTTCGACGTTCGATTTACGTCAATTCGACATTCAATTGACGTTGTTTCGACCTTTGACGTTTCGACGTTCGATTTACGTCAATTCGACGTTCAATTCACGTCGTTTCGACCTTTGACGTTTCGACGTTCGATTTACGTCAATTCGATGTTCAATTGACGTCGTTTCGACCTTTGACGTTTCGACGTTCGATTTACGTCAATTCGATGTTCAATTGACGTCGTTTAGACCTTTGACTGACGTTTCAACGTTCGATTGACGAAGTTTCGACATTCGATGGACATCTCATTTTTACATCTCATTTTTATGCTATCGGCATACCCCATTTTCATTGATTTTACCCGAAATTAACTCTGTCACTTATGATTGCAAGTTGTTGCGAGTCAGTGACTGCTTTAGTGTTAAAATATGGTGCTGTATTTTTAGGATAGTGTGTTTATAATATCATTTTATGTAGATGTCCACATCTATTTAATATTTTTCTTCTGCAGTTTTTATTGAAAATGCAATATTTGACATCTCAAACACCTGATGTGATAGACAAAAACTGATGCCAGATTTGGAATCAGCACCCCAAAATTACCTTAAAACCGTTGGAATACCTCATGACAGATAAAGTGTGTTGACCAGTGTTATCAATGTGGTTTTTTTTTTGCATTCTGACTGCAAGTATTGTGGGTAATGTAAACATGATTCCTTGCAAAAAGGTTTCAGTTTTGTCGCCAGACAAAAAGGGGAAAAAAACCCTATAATTATTATTTCCCCTAATATACAGGTGAGTCATATTTGGTAATTTTAGATGTTTTATTGCGATTTCGCCCACCGAGTGTGACCGTGGGACCAGGAATACAAGGGCCCCCTATTGACGCCGCTAATACCCGGCCATAAAGCGCCGCCCGACCCTAAACGATCAACCTTGTGGTCCGGCCAAACACCAAACACCGAG